CCCCCCCCGCCAGTTTCCCGTGTATGTATTGTATTTTCTTCTTCTTAGTTCTTCATTCCCCAATATTTTGCTCCAACCCCCCACTATTGCTGCTGCTGCTGCTGCTGCCTCCTCTGCTGCTTGTGAGCACATCATAGGCGAGGCAGCGAAAGCTTCAAGCTCAACAGGATGATGGCGAGGATGATGATGTGGTGGCGGCTCCTGTGCGTCCCGCGCCATGTGACGGACATTGTCTCGTGCTCTCACCGCCCCGCCCCACTCCGCCCCGCCCCGCCCCGCAGGGTTCCCACACGATCACCGCACTAACGCGGTTATTAAACTGGAAGAAAGTCGCTGCCGCTTGCGGTTCTGCTCATGCTTCTTGTCGAGAAAGGGAAATAAAAAAGCGCGATACATTTACCATTCAAATTTCGGGTTGGTATAAAAAGTTTGTGATGTTCTATCTCAAATCTTTCGACAAAGGCTCACACACTCACTAAACAGTCTAAAGAGAACGTGGCTACTATGTCAAAGACACCCCTCCCCCCTCCAAAAAAAGGTGACACTCTGATTCTGATTCAGACAGAGAAAGAGTGAGCACTTTTCCAACACTACATTGACACTTGTTGTGACGATGTGGGACACACCATGGCTGCCGCACGCAGTCTTTTGTGTAACATTTTCTCACGCACATTTAAATATCGAGTTTGACACGCACTTTTTATTTGGAGAGTACATCTCGGCCAGAGCGCCGGCGCCGCGGGCCCGAGAGGCGCGCTGGCTGATGTCACAGTGACGCCACGCTGACGCCCGTCGCGACGCTGGACCGCTCTGTTTACCCCGGGGCTCCTGCTCCTCTTCACCGCGCTATCTTTGCACACAGATTCAACCGTACCCACTGACGCTATAGGGATTTTTCTTCGTCAGACCTACTCTGCAAATACGTTTCCTCGCTTGCTTATAATAAGTGAGAGAACAGACTCCCATTTAAAAGCACACCAGCCAACCGCTTACCTACATACCTGCAAACCTCACTTGCAACGTGAGAAAATTGTTACTGTGAAATTTTAAAATTTACTACTTGGATCTTGGATATGCGGCTAAATCTTCGCACGAAGGGAAGTAAATCTGTTCCTAACTCTCTTCATGACTTATATTTTTCTTGATTATACCGCCTACGACGCTTCTGCTGTAGCATTGTTATAACCATTGCTGCTGGTGGCTGTCCCAGAAAAGGCTCTAAATACGTGCGTATTATTCAAATGTAGCCGTTGGGGAAAGGGGAGAGGGGGGGGGGTAGTGCCTCTGTCTGTCTGTCTGTCTGTCTGTCTGTCTGTCTGTCTGTCTGTTCCTCTCTCTCTCTCTCTCTCTTCCTCCCGCTCGCTCCGCTTCACTTGAGCTCCCGCCCTTCCCCACACGCTGCTGCCGCTGCCGCTGCACCACCCGTGCCGCGGAGGGGCCCATCTCTCACAAGGTCGGCCGCCAGGAGGGCCCGTCCCGTGTGCGGCCGGTGGGGCCCGGTGGGGCCCGGTGGGGCCCGGTGGGGCCTCCTGCTGCTCGGGTGGTGGGGCGGGTCCCTCTGGCGGGCCGGCACCGCGCTCACCGCTCATGCTGGCCCCGCTCCGCCCAGTCAGTCAGTCGGCGCGTGGCCGAGCCCGAGTCAGCAGCGCGAGCGGCACGCGACCCGCCAGAGGGACCCGCCCCCTCCGCACAACGTGAAGTACGTGAACGTGAGGCCGTCTCAGGTGGTGCCCGAGTGCGTGCGCGAGCGTCGGAGCGTGTGTGCGTGTGCGTGCGTGTGTGTGTGCGAGTGTCGCCGACCGGGTGGTGTCGACCCTCGGCCCGGCCGCGTCCCGGTGGCGCCGCTGGCCCGGCATGCCCGGCCTCCCCGTCGTCGCCCTCGACCTGCTCGCCACCGCCTCTCCCCCCGCCTAAGGTGAGCAGCGCGCAGCATGACCGCTCGTCTCGTTACTCGTGTTATTGCCGTTCACGAAAGAACCG